GGAATTGATGAAAGTAGCTAATGCTTGAGTTTGATTTTTTATCAGTATTTTAAAAGAATGAAAAATGGTCTCAAGGCTTTCTCTATCGAAGAATTGAGTTGTAAGCCTCCATTTAAATCTAGAAACATAGAAAGACTCGCAAACATAACAAAAATGTATGGGTAAAATATTACTAACCGTAATGATTATATAAATCTTAAAGACAAAACTCAGTCACATCTATCACATTCTGAAGTAAAGACTCTAAAGATCATTCAGAACATTATTATTTTATCACTTATAGAATTGTTCTTTTCTTTATTTTATATCTTCAATATTTTTTTGACTTTTTGGTGGTTTTAGTAATGGGCTAGACAATTCTGTCTCATGGTATATTACATTGCATTGGGAGCTTTATAACTTTGGAGGATGGGCAGAGAATTGATATTATTCTAGTGATTTTATGAGGTCAAAAGACAACTATGCTCTTTTATGGAGGCACAAGCCTCCTTGATATGAAGCTAAAAATTTGAGCTTCACTTAAATACGTGCATCAGGCCATCCTAAAAAGCTTTTTTTTTTTTTTTTTAAACCTTTATTATCTAACCTCTCATTTGAATAGTTTCTGCCAGAAAATTTTTTGTTTGGTTAAACACTTCATTACCTTTATTGTAAAGCTGAATTCAAAATCTGAAGAATGGAGTGGACGTTGAAGGTTTACATTATTGGATAACTGGAATATTGGAATCTAGTTCTTGGTGAAGGTGTCTGTTTTGATTACTATTACTACACCCGTTAACTTTGAAACTTTCAAATATTTTAGGTTTTCTGTTAAAAAAAAGCGCTAAAACAAATGGATGGAGTAAAAGATGGTTTGTTCTAAATGAGAAGACGGGAAAGGTATGTGTACTTTTGTTCTATAATTTCTATAAGCTATTATGTGCAAGTCTGAAGGCTAAAAAATGTTAATGGTAGATTTCTCTTTTCCATCATTCTATTTGACATGCACATAATTTCAATTTGACTCATAACGCTGGTGTTGCTATATCAAGTATTCCGTTTATCATGTCAGCTTATATTTTTTAAAAATTAACTCCACGTGTAGTAGCTTATGGAGTTTTATTGGCAAGTACTAGTTAAATCTTATCACTATATAGTTCCAATGACAATGTTGTAATGCTCAGTATGCAGTAGCTGCACATGTTTAGGTGATAATATTTTGATTTATCTGCAAGGCAATGTTCTGATATTTTTGTGTAACCGTTGCTGATTATCTATCCTTTTTTCATCTAATCTGTGCTAGAAAAGTAGTTCTTACAAATTTTCCTTTCTTATGTCAGCTTGGTTACACTAAGAAGCAAGAGGAGAGACATTTTCGTGGTGTGATCACTTTAGAGGTATGAAGAATCATTGGTGTAGAGATTGTCAAGTTTTTCTAGTTCTGGATGTGGTTAGTTTACTTAAATTGACTTAGAAAATCAGGTTGAAGGATATAAAGCGTGTTTATACTTCAATAAGAGATAGCTTTTATTAATTAAATTAAACAATATAATTGAAGGGGGGAGGTCCGGGAATTCATCAGCAAAGGTTAAATGTTAACCTAACCAAGTTAGAAAAGTTACTCCTAGTTACAGCTTTTATAGAACAAAAATTGTATTTACCTAAAATCTGATCATGCCCAAAATCTTTTCCGACGCCCTTGAAAACTTCAATTTTTCTCTAGCCAAATCTGCCAAACTTTTGGAAGAATATTGATCATATATGTTTATCCTATTCCTTCTTCTCTGTTTTAATGTTAGTAGTTGGTGTGTTCAAATGCATTTCACATTTATAGGGGTAATTAAAAACTGAGGATTGAACGATTTTGTATCAATAGGTAAATATGCATGCCTGCTGTGAAAGAGAGGCTGGGCGGGAGTTTTGGTCTCTAATTATTTTTCTATATTCAATATGTTTTCCTTTTTCTTTTTTTCTTTTTGCTTGGTATCTTGGTCTAAATGTTAGTCTCTCACTCATACTATTTGTATCGTAAAGTTAATGGGTCAAATTGGCCCACCTAGATAACAATTTGGCATTACCGATGTAGAATTGGTTATGTTGTGATTATTACCATAATGAATATTTAAATGTTGTATTATCTGATGGTGGAAAAACTTAACAGAATTTCAGAGAAGTTTGACGAACAACGCTATCTGCTTTGAATGAAGCCAAATCTTTTAGTTGGTATTAAACCATCAATATCTCTCTTTAGAACTTATGCTCATATGACTGATACATGGAAATCCATTGCTTTAGTGAAGACATTAAATTCAGCTTGACGAAGAATCAATCTTGGCTTTTTTCGCTTCTATTGTATATGGCCAACTTTTCCCCTATGATATGGGATTTTCTTCTCTCTTTTTTTTTTTTTTTTTTTTTTTTTGTTTCCAATGTCATCCTCATCACTTCAACCATATCTGATGCTTAATTTAGTCAATGCATGCAGATAGTATATCTGGGCGGGAAGCTGATTTTTGAATGATTATGGATTTATATTTGAGTTGCCTTTTTCTCTGTTATAAATAATTTTGCAGGAATGTAATGTTGAAGAGGCTTCAGACGAGGAAGAAGCTTCTTCAAAGGGTTCAAAGGATAAGAAAGCTTACGGCCCAGATTCTGGAAGAAGTCTCGTGTTCAAGATCACGAGCAAGGTTGCATATAAAACTGTTCTTAAAGGTTTGTTCTCTGTTAATTTTTCCAGTTATTTGGCTATTGGCTGTGGAACCTTCTGTCAACTTGTTTAGTCTTGCAAGTTATAACTCAATTCTTTCCTTTTCAGCACACAACGCTGTTGTCTTGAAGGCCGAAAGTATGGCTGATAAGATTGAATGGATGAATAAGATAAGGAATCTTATTCAACCTTCCAGAGGACAGATGAAGGGTCCTGAAAGTGGTCTTCCAATGCGGCAGAGTCTTTCAGAGGGTTCTCTTGTAAGTTACCAACTTGCACCTGTTTCTTTGTAGCAAATTTTTGGATGACAATGACTTCTGAGGAGTCATCATGTAATTACATTTTGTTCTTAATTGTCCAATAATCCATTTTTTAAATTGTATATTATATAACTGTTAATTTGGAAGAAAAGCAAGCAGCTGCTTAGAAACTTTGAATTCATTTGATGAAGGATACAATGAGTAGAAGACCTGTGGATCCTGAAGAGGAACTACGGTGGATGTCTCAAGAAGTTCGTGGCTATGTTGAAGCTGTCTTGAACAGTTTGGCTGCTAATGTCCCAAAAGTAAGCTTCTGTACAATCAGTTTACTCTGCTTACCAGTACGCCCCTCTATGCCGTGCAATGGATTTTAATTTAATATAATATCTTGCTGGTTGATTGATCGAACTGAGCAGGCAGTTGTGCTCTGTCAAGTTGAGAAAGCCAAGGAAGATATGCTAAATCAGTTGTATAGTTCCATCAGGTTGAATCCAATTCTTCTTATTGTTGGCGACATCTGTTAAATCTTTTAGTTCTATTCTCAGACCTCATATACCTAATAATGACTTAGAAAATAATTTTGTTGTTCTTCGGTAGTGCTCAAAGCACACCAAGGATAGAGGAGCTACTTCTCGAGGACCACAATGTAAAGAATAAAAGGGAGCGCTGCCAAAAACAATCATCTCTTCTTTCTAAATTGCTACGTCAACTCAGCGTACATGACAACCGAGCGGCTGCTGCAGCCAACTGGTCCGACAGTGGCGCAGGTATGCAGTTACTACTAGCTTGTATTTATGCTCTTTCCTATATATCTTTACCGTGAATTTTACTTTACACAGACTTCATTCCGTTGAGCTCGATTTTTATTTCTTAAATATAGAAATGTTTATCTTTGCAGAAAGCAGTCCGAGAACGAGTGCTCCATCAGGTGAAGACTGGAAATCTGCCTTCGACGCTGCATCCAATGGTCCTGCGAACTACAGTAGATCTTCATCCAATGGTCACAGTCGACGTTACAGTGATCCAGATCAAAACGGAGATTTGAGCTCACGTTCAAGCTCCAACAGTCGCCGCACTCCGAACCGGATGCCTCCACCCCCACCGCCATCTTCGGGTTCAAAATACTATTAGCTGCACTGAGTTTAGACTATTTTGACAGTTTCCTTATCTTCATCAATATATTTTTTTTATGAGGTGACACCAATGCACACCAGAGTTTGGGTACCTAGTCTTCTCATATTCATATCTTTCTACTAGAGTCCAATACCAATACCAATACCAATACCGGGGCGAACAATAGATTTACATTTGGAACCTGGAAGGAAGGTTTGGCGTGTACATAGAAATCGAAGTTCCATATGCTTCTCCAGAGTTTGGCCTTGTCCTACGCTCGGATATTTGATTCAAAAAAGTATCCTTGAAATCTACAAATATATTTCTTCACATTCCTATTCATGTCATAAGAGATTTTGTTTCCTTCATTATTATTATTGTTTGCACCAATTTTCGGACACTAATGTATTTGTCTTGTGGCATTAGTGATTTCATCTCAAATGTGCACTCTCCTTTGATGGCATTGTAACAATTGTATACTCCATTTAAATACCAGTCTTTTCAATGGTTTAAATTTAAATTCTCTGCCCATGTTCCCCCTGTTTGGATTATTGTCCCTTTCTGTTATTGTTTTGGGTAAATGTACCTCTACAATGGGAGGGATGATATTCTGATTGTGATTAGTTGTGCTTGTTTGTTACCTAATTCCATAAAGCAACATCAAATGTTTTTATCAGCTCACTAATTTTGAATTATCACTCCCAGATGATAATACAAAGAGGCAGAAAGGTCAGACACATTACAAATCTCACATGTTTCTTATTTAGCATGAATTAGAGGTTATAGCTATTATATTATCTTGATTGATAATAATGGAGGTCATTTAAGTACGATTGCAATCTGTTTCAATTCTTTTATGAACAATTTTGGCATTTAAATAGAATTAACCTGGCTAAGCAGATCTGGTGTTAAGTGATGAGATGTAATAAACAGCAAAGTTTGCAAAAGCGTAGTGTGCTGAATGTTCCTTTTTTTTTTTTTTAACCTTCACTAGGGAAAATGTGGAAGTGTTGGATACATTTCTTAGAAAAGTAAAAGTATGAAAATGAAGAAGCTACAGCTTAGCAGCAAGAGAATCCAGGAAGTATTCATACGAAATTTACCAGATTTGCTGTTCCTTTCCATACTTGTTCCTGTATAAACACTAACCACCATATCTAAGAACAGCCTCGTCAGAGTAAATAATAAAAAAATCATACATACAAAAACCACTGCAGCGCTTTGATTCTCCAGAGAAATCTGTTTCTCCTCAACCTTCTCAATCTCAGATCTACAAACAAGAAAAAATCACTTAGGGTACTGTACATTAAGTCTATAATCATATTCACACACCATTTATAGCACTGCAACATACTACACACTAATATTAGGTAACCTTTAGATTTTAAAAAATTAAGCTTATATACACTAATTCTATGCATACGCTATCCACTTTCAACTACGTTCTCAAAAACCAAACAAAGCTTTGAAAACTAAAAAAGTAGTTTGAGAAAAGTAGTTTTTTAAAATTTGATTGAGAATACAAATGTTTCTTCTAAGAAATGTGAAGTTTAGTGGTTAATTTATACATTAATCAAACTAAAATTTATGCAAAACTTGGTTTTATTAAAATGAGCAAGTCTACGGTGATTTTTGCAGGGTTTTTTTTTTTTTTTTTTTTTTTTTTTTTTTTTTTTTTTTT